AAAGTTAAATTATGTATCATTTACCATATAGGTTTAATACCTCCTTTCATAAAATGAAGACTGTTCTTTAGCTGTAAGGTTTCAGGCCCTGGAATATAATGATAAAGACTCCAGAAATTCTATGAAATCAGAATATTGTTTAACACACTTTTTCATGAGTTATATTGTAAGAGCGAGCATCAGTGAAAAGAGATTCGTATGTACCTGTACAGTTTTCACCGTTCCAAGACTTTTTAAATTTTCTTGATATTCTTCTGGAGAGGCATTAGGAACAAATCTATATAAACCATTGTATTGTAAATGATTGTTAAATCATTAAACTATTAAAGAATCACGCGTCGTATCAACTAAAGATTATATTTCGTTTGCTCTTGTGTAGATGTAGTCATTTTACGCGTTATTATCTTTTCCGAGTACATAAAGAAAAAGGTATCAGAATATTAAATTAAAGAATTTACTTGTCAAGATAAAAAGTCCATGCGTTTGTCAATGGAAAAGGTTTTGAATTTATTAAATTATCATCGTTTATCAAACTTTTCGCGTCATCGTCAACCTTTTTTTGTAGGTCTGAATCCATGACTACACTACCAGGAGAGTTAACTAATTTTATTACTGGACTAGAGACAGGGCTTATAATGCCATTAATGTTAAAGTTATTGGTTGTTCGAGTTGAAAATTTCTTGAAGGGAGGGTTTGGAGGATTACGACGTATTGGTTGTGTTCGAGAAGAGTTCGAATTTGACGGTAGTGTAGTAGTGTTAAAGGACATGGAGATAGCAGAGTCCAATGTTGAAGAAACCGTTTACAATAGTTCTATTATTAATGCTAACAATGTTCTCTTTAAGTGAGGAGTGTCGACTGTTAAAAATGAGATAAAAAATTAACGAGCTGTTATATGAGAGACAAATATCTTTGTTAAAAAGAATAAAGTTTTATTCAGGATTTTTTGAATGACAGTGAGGTAATAAGCCAGATATAATCAAGTTATGCGACCTAACAAATTAAGTTAAATCGTTAGAAACCAATCATTACATTCTGATATTATTGATATTATTAATATCCCGATATTTTTAATATTTACACTTAAAAACTTAAAAACACGTGAACTTTGAAATTGTATTATAAAATTAAAATTATAAAAATTAAAATTATAAAATTAAAAAATTGTGCGCTTCGAAATCCAATTAGTGTTATAGAATTAAAATATTGTGCATTCTAAATTCTCTTTAACCAACGGAAAGATTGTTTTCGCTGAAGCTAACGACCATACGAAATCCATATGGGCATATCCCTACAATTCAGTGGCAGATGTTAAAATATCGTTTTCCTTTAATTTTTCGCATAGTAATTAATTCCACATCCTCGAGCAGATCATTAGTTACGTAAAAAACTGCGATTTTCAATGTAATTGCAGAAATGTCGTAAATATACACACCCCACAATATATTACCGAAATATCTGTCATTTTGGAACCCCAATATCTGGTCACATTTAAATAAAGATATTACCCATAAGATTTGCGGATTCGAGACAAATCTAATGGGAGTTATCTTCATTTAAATGGGATCACTGGATTTTGGAAGTATTTCCGGTAGGGTGTGGGTGTGTACAGAACTTATTTCAGTGAAACGCTGGAGTTTCCCAGTTCGTGCGGGACTTTATAGACCAGGAAAAAGTTTATTGTTTAGATATTTTGGTAGGTTGTGTTGTTAAAATTAATTTATATAATATACCCGCATCCAATGAAAGTTCATTGAACTGCTGGGAGCTGGAAACTACGATGTATAATTACTACAGCAAATTAGTATCCCCAGTAAATATACCTTTGCTTTATATAAAAATAACACGCATTCTAAAAGATTTGAAACAAAATAAAATTTACCAAATAACAAGCCAAAACCAGCTTCATAAGGCAAAGTAGAACCAACGAAAAATTGAGGGTTGGCGTAGAAACTTTATTTGGTAGCAATTCAACCACCTTATCAGCGCGGATTGTAACCAATGCTTAAATAATTTCGATTGTTGATGTTCTAGAAAAGACGGGTGGTCCTAATAAAATCGCTATCAAAGATGTCTTCCGGTTTACTGTGTCATCAATTAGGGCAGTTACCATTTCAGCTGCAGCTTTCGCAAAAAATTATTTAATTTTTTAATTATGCATCATATTATTATATGCGTTATTTGGTTACTACCTTGTAAGTGCCCACCCAATAAATGCTATTCTCGCTGTATTTGTGATTTTTTGGATGCACCATTTTTTTGTATATTACAAATTAAAGCACGGTTTGTAATGTGTCGAGACGACAACTAAAACTCACTTAAATAAAGGCGGATAGGTCAAAGTAAACCATATCATCCCAAGTAAAATGATCATTCTCCGAAGGATTACTGATTACCGTGTGAATCACCTAGCTAGACATCGTAACCAACATGAGCCAGAAAATATTAATAGCCAAGCATCAGAACCATCAAATAGACCATGCTGAAGGAATACAACTTTTTCTTTGATTCATCCTTCGAGAGGTATGCGAGATTTTGTCTCGAAACCGTGAACTAAATGTGTAAATCCATCGTCGGTTGTTACTTTGTGATTTTCAAAGTCGATTTTTTTTTTGCAGCATTATTAATAATAATATTGTTATTGTTATTCATGATTTTAACTTGCGAGATAATAAATGCCAATTTAAAAGGAAAGCTACAAAATATTTATTTTTTTAATTTGGGGCGGACAAAAAAATTAAAGAACGAATTGAAAAGACTATTACACAAGGACATTCATGTTAGCAAGTCATTCAGAAAACAATCATCCCTATATATAAGTTTATTCAGAAAACAAACATTCTCATAACGCTTCTCTATTTAAGAACTGATGTTTATTATTAAACACATAAAAAAATTAAAAACATCTTGAGAACAATTTTTTTAGAAGTTAGACTTTCACATACAGTGTGATTGGGATCGTATTAAAATGATATAGTTAAATACGTAAATAATCTATTTATCTATAAAAGAAAGAAAGAAAGAGAAAAACTAATAATTTATAAATAGAAATGTAAAAGCTTTATATATATATATTTATATTTATAGTAATTGATGGAATCTTAAGAATTTTTGTTCGTTTTTGATGATTTAAATGTTTTCAAATTGGTACCAGAGCTAGAAGCTTTACCATTCTTGCGCTCTTTTCCCTTTCTCTGGCTCTCTTCTACCTCTTCTTTTTTCTCATTATCATCCTCATTAGTGTTGTTGTTTCCTTTCTTTTCGTCTTCTTTTACTTTTGTAGTTTTACCAGTTTTCGACGATTTACTGCTACTGCTACTTTTCTTTAATTTCTTGGCAGGTGGTGGTAATGTTTCTTCTTCCTCCTCTTCTCCCTTTCTTGGGTAATCTACCATGTCAATCCTTAACATAGAAGCTACATTCTGACGGGTTTTAACTCTCTGGTTAACGAATTTTGGATGATTCAAATACTAAACCAAAAAAAAAAGACCAGAGATTAGAATTGGAGAAAAGTAACCACGTAGCAAACAAAAATAAAAATCGCTTTTACTTGAGGATCTTTATCTGTTTGTACGATGCAACGACTACAAATCAGCGTATCATCTTTAATTCCTATAGCTTGATACATTCTTTTCGGCACTTTGACTAATTTTCTTTTCAACGGCGCTTTCCTTTTACCAATCTCTTTAATAGAAGAAATGTATTCCTCATGCTTTGGATGCCCACATTGTTGTTGCTGCTGCTGCAGCTGTTGTGGTTTACCTTCCTTTGGTTCATTTGTATGAGGTGACCTGGTTCGTTTGCGTGAAGTCGACATTTTTTTATTCTATTTTATTTTGTATACTTTTTTTTTCGACTATCTATTTATTAATTAAAAGAAAAAGTATCCATTAGTTAATAATTTATTTGGTTCAAAATTAGGTAATATCCGAGTTTCTTGCGCTTTTTAGACCTTTTTATCAAAAGAGGATATCTTCGAGACTGTATATAATTAAAAATTTTCGGGGCAATAGTAAACTTTTCCACTTAGAAGAAAACTACTTTATGGTTTATATATCGATCGATTTGGGTCGCTTTGATGTAACATGAAATTTATCGATGTGTATGTTATTCGTAGGCAAAAACACACGCAACAAGATGTTGTCCTCTCGTTCTTTTTGGGGGGTAAAACCATAAAGTTTGTACAGCTTACATAAAAGGTCTATCATGTGGTATTTTTTCTTAATATTTACCTCTTCTGTCAACAAGGATATTGATTTTGTTTCGTTAAAAGGTCAACGATAAATATATCGATATGGTAAAGGAATTAATTTTTAGGAAAGAACAAAAAGGCAAGAGTATTTCCACTCGTACGTATTCGAAAATCATCACATATAAAATAAAACTAGATACATATATAAATAAATGCGTGTTTCATCCACGTACATGATTTAGCCTTATCGGCTATTATTTTTATTGCTCGCGCAGTAACAATGCACATCACGCGCATACTGTTGATCAAAACTTGTTAACAAATAGAAGTTGGATGAAACTTTTAGAGTAAAACTTGTTTACACGTTACGTGATGGAGTTACCAAATGTTGTAAGGAATCTCGACCAAACAATAAAGAATATGGACCTTCCGAATGCAGTGAAAAATCTGCAAGCAGTAACAAACATTGAAATACCAGAGTCAGTAAGAAAATTAGAGATACCACAAGCAGTGAAAAACCTTGACCTTAACGCCGTAAAAAACATTGAACTTCCAAACGCGGTAAAAAATATCGAATTACCAAATGCTTTAAGAAGCGTTCCTAATGCTGTATCAAACGTTGTCAAAGACGTGCAGATTCCAAATAATGCCACAACTAGACGACTATCATGTAAGTTTTTGCATATACGTTAATGAAGACTAAGATAGGAAAAGAAGTGCTTTTTCTTGTTACCATCTAATCGCCAATGATATTCCGTACTTACATATATGTCTATATTTTTTGATAGTACTGGCGACATCAGCATTTTCAAGTGTCGCCTCTATTACTCAAATAATTCAACAGAAAGTTGAGGAGACAACGAAAAATATTCAAAGCGAACATGAAGCATTCGTTAAACAGGTTAAAGAGGAATCAATCGAACCTAATTCAGGAACAGGTAAATTTTGAAATGGATCTCGTTACATTTTTAGCTATTTATTCTCATATCACGTCAAATTTGTTTTTAGTGGCATTGCCTCCGTGGGAAGGTTTACCCAATGAAGATGAATTGAAGAAACAAATACTGGCTCTATCTAAGGTTTTTTTTATCGTTCATTTTTAATCCGTCAAATATTCTCTAAAAATTGAATCTGAATTAAGATTCTTTACCTCCTAGGATAAACGAAACTTTCTCATTAACCCACCAGAAAATACAAATTTCCAATTTGACTTGAATGTTTATTATCAAACTGCGATGGCCGTTCTTAATGCTGATCCAAATTTAAATCGAATGCGATTTGAACTTGTACCTTCACAGTAATTGATTTTATTTCTTTTTGTGTTATTATCGACGTATTAATAATGATTAATTTTTATAAAATTATTTCATTACACGAAAGAGTCCAGGAACCAACATTTTGGCGAAATTATTTCTACCGAATATCTTTAATAAAGCAGACAGCATTAGGATCGACTGATGCTGCTACTCTAGCAAATGAGGTATATTCAAAGAGTGACGAAGAATTAGTTAAAGAAACAGCAGCCTCTTCATCAACATCGACTACTAATACAGTAGTTAATAGCAAGGATGAGGAAAATACAAAAAAGGTTTGTGAATGATTTATTTCTTTTTTTTTTTATTAAAAAATTTATCTGAAATTAATCTAATTGATTCTTAAAAAGGAAAAGGAGAAAATAGATGAGGTTAAAGAAGTTTTATTTGATGCAGAGAATTCAGGAGAGGGATCAGGTTTTCAATTTTTTTTATTAATTTTCTCAAATTGAAAATTTTCCATGGTTTTCTAACTCAATTTGTTCTTTTCAAGATGTATGGGAAGATGAACTTGCAAAGGTTGCAGCTGATGTTGGTGTGATAGAAGGCGAAGATGCAGATGAAGAATTAGTGGATGATTGGGAAGAAGAGATGAAAAAAGAGCTTTCTTTATAATAGAAACAATCACTGATTTATTTATTTTTATGTACAAAATTTTAACGATAAATATGTAGTATATGGGGCAGCGCATCAACTAATCAACTAATGCCAATCATTCCTTTATATGAAAATATAATTTAACCTGGCATTACAAAAGATTGACATTATAAAAGACCAACAAATCATCTATAATTATACAAAAAAAGTGATCGAGTATTTTAACACCATGGTACACGTTGGGAGAAAGAATTCTTTTACTCTGATTTACTCTAATAAATACTCTTTTCTATTATAGGGAAAAGTTAAAAGGACAAAAAAATTCGCACAAGTTAAACGTTTGCTCAATCCAAACGATTCTAGACTGTGTGTTATTTTCAAAATTCCTAGTTTTTTTTTGTTGTTTATTACGTCTTGTTGCTTAATTGCCGTTATCTTTAGAAAAGAGGTTCAAGAAAAGCAAAAGAAAAAACAAGAAGAGAAAGAAAAGCAAGCAGTACGACATGTGTATGCATTTCTTCATTTGTTGTCTTCTTGAAAATGAGGCTTCGTAATTTTACCTTGTACCTCTTCAGCTCTTGATGTTTCACCTTGCTTGATTTTAATAGTCCACAAGTCGCGTCTTCGCTCTTCTTCAGATACAACAGTGCCTTGGGTCCACCATATCATATACTTATTGATACAAATTTCATCAATTTCTCGATACAAAACAAATTAGAACTTGTAGAAGCTATGATGGATTGTTTATATGCTAAATGTTTGTATCCAAGATTCCATTAAAAAATGTTAGTCTTCCAATTTCAACAATGGTTACTTATAATTAACCTTATAGGCATCCCGTGCGTAACTGATTGTGTAATTGCTGAATTAGAAAAATTGGGACCAAAATATAGAATAGCTTTACGGTAAGCTTTTTTTTATTTTTTATTTACATGAGAATAGATGCTTACGTGATTTCGATTCCATTGATTAGCGTCGCGCGGGATCCTCGATTCGAGAGACTTCCATGTACTCATAAAGGAACTTATGCAGATGATTGTCTCGTTCAAAGAGTCACGCAGGTAAAATGGAAAATATTTTTCCGCTTGATCTTAATACCTAAATGCCTAAATTTGGAATTTTCTCTTAAGATAAGATAATATTTGTTTGCAAGACTTTGAAATGCCTGATTAAGAAAATCAAGAAAAATTTTATCATTTAGGCAATTTAGGCGATAGTTTTTTTCTTTAACTTTTTTAATGTGTCCAATTGATATAATTAACTCACCTTTGTCTGTCTTAGCACAAATGTTATATTGTGGCGACTTGTGATCGAGACTTAAAACGACGTATTCGTAAAATTCCTGGCATCCCAATCATGTATATATCAAAACGAAAATACACGATAGAAAGGTTGCCAGAAGCGTATGGCGCCCCAGCATAAAAAAAATTAAATTCGATTTATCGATTCGTATAATCATCAAGAGAATTTTATTTTATCAGAAAAATCAAAAAATCATATATATTCGGCATATAATAAGTATGTATCCAAACTTAATTTATCTCATTACTTGAATATACAAGTAAACATTCTAAAATTTTATAACTAACTTAATCCATAAAATATTCATCTATTCAATTATAGTTTATAAAATACAATAATAATTTAACATTAATGTTTTTGTCATAAAATTATGCGAAAAAATTAAAATCAGAGTTTAAATCGTCCTCTAATTCTTTCAAATCATTTAAATACTCCTTGATCACTTTAGTAGAAGCTGTTATTCCTCTTAACTTTATAATATCTTTTTGTTTAGACTCTAATTCATCATATTTCTTAAACCAATCATCTTCCTTCTGGAAGTCTTCAAGAGCATCTTCGTATAACAATAAGGCAGTTTTAGCAATTTCTGCTTCTTTCAAAGGACCTTCTTTGGAAATAACGGAAATCAGTCGATTTTTATTGATAAATAATGCCAATTCCGTATTGACTACATCCATCAATTTCATTGACTTGCTTTTCCCCTCCTTTTGTTCTAATCGATAATTTTTTTTCTCAGATTTTGTTCTCTCCACGAAATCTGCAGTTTTTATCTTGAATATGATTCGATTCCCATGAGAACTACGAAGATGAAGAACTGGTCTAATAATCACTATTATGAAAAATCAATAAGTAAGTTTGATTTGATGTTCATAATCAAAAGTTCTATAAATCACCTCCTTCAGCTTTGTTATTTTTTGGTAGAGGTGGAAGACCTAAAAGACCAGGAACAGTAGTGACAAAATGCGGATCATAATTAGAGACTTGTTCAAAAGAGCCTTTTGCCAATGGCTTCAGGAACGGTACGCCTGCCTCTTCCAAGACTTCAGTCATGGTATTAAATCCCACCAAATCTGTGCCATCAAAGACATCGAAAGCCATGAACTCGTGATTAGGGCAATATTCAATTCCATGTTGAATTATCGAAATTGCCTTCACCGGTTTGACTTCGGGATGCCGATAAAGTCCTCCAAACAGTTCACCGTATACAATAATCTTTACACCACGTATGAGATTTTTTGAATTCATTACTTCCCATAATTTAATTATATTATCATGGTACTTTGCTTTGATTGTCTGGTAGCCGTAAAATGACTCATTTTCGTCGAGGATTGCCATCCTCCTTGCGCATTGCACTCTTGTGCCATCCGTGATAAATGAAAAGTTTACTCCGTGAATCTGAATTTTTTTAAGTATAAATTAGATTATTGCGTAAAATCAAAAGTGATTTTTTACAAACCTTTTCGCATACAACCCATTCTAGAATTATGAATACAAATTATTAAAGATTAAAACAAAATCCTCTCGGAAACACGAAATTTTAGATACGTACCACAAAGATCGACGAGATTATCTCTTTTCATCGTCTCCATTCTTCTCGAATTTGAAGTATTTTCAATGGAATCATATTTCACATGATCACTCCATGAAGAAGGACGTGTAGATTCAGTATTAGAAGTTTCAATAAGCATTTTGATTTTTCAACTATGAACTTTCTTAGCGAACGACATGTTTTATACCCGTTTTCAACACAAATCCGCAGATATTTGACGCAGTCTGCTACGGATGATGATCTGGAAATCGCGTAATTAAATTTTACTGTGAACGTGGTGTTCATAGTTAGGGTAATACATGCCGATCATTAATTAAAGATGTTTCCTTTTCCCACTATTACAAATCTCAAAAAACAAACTAATAGTGTTATTTTTTTTAATTGCAATATTGTTATAATTATATTTTAAAATAAAAAATGAAAAAAATGGCACTATTATCTTATAAAAAAGCTTAAGAGCCATCAATTATATTCCAGCATTAGTTCATTTGGACATACGTAAGTCCAGCAATGATTGGGTGGATCCAATTAAAAATATTTTTATAAAACAATTATTTCAAAACTATAAGTACTAATGGTTACACAACTAAGTGACTTAATATGTTCATGTGTTCAGTTGGTTAGCTAATTACAAAAAGTTAATTTTATAACTAAACATAGTAAATATACCTTTTCCAAACGGATAAATCTTTATCTAAAAAGATGTCGCAACGGTTTAAAAATATTTACCAACAAAAATATCGTAATTTCCATAATCAGCGACATCATCAACAAAAAAAAGTGAAAAGCAATGATGACTCATCTCAAAAAATTTCCACTGGAATTTCATTTTCTTCTTCATTAACACTGTATAAAGAGAAGGAAGAACAGCGGCAGCAGAATACAGATAATGGAATCAACAATCAAAGCAATGATATTCATAAAGACCATTTAAAAGACGTACAAGAAAGAGAAATGACAAATCGTAATAATTATTATAGCAACGAACACAGGCTGGAAGAACGTGAAAAAAGAGACACGAAGAGACAGAATAACAAAGAAGCAGTGAGAATGGAATCGAAAAATGTTCGGTTCGAGTTAAACGACTATAGGAGAAATCCAATAACAACCCTTCCCATCAATAACAATAATAACAACCAAAACAAAAATAACAAGCATTCACTGTCTTCAAGATTCAACACATACACAGCATCAGCCACATTAACCAGCTCTGGTTCATCATCATTGTTATTATCATCTGCATCTGACACAAACATGAAAGATCATTTTGCGAACTCAAACGACTTGGAAAAACAAGAAATAAAAGAAAAGTTGATGCTTTTAGAGAAAACACACCGTACCAAGGAACAAGAAATACGCATTAAAAAACAAGAATTAATTTGTAAAAAAGAGAAATTACTAAAGGAAGAAAAGCAATTGATGGCTATGGAGGATCAATTGATGTTGGACAAGGAGATATGGATGGATCTACATGATCGATTTTCCAAGTTTGAACTGTCAGAGCACCAGAGATTAAATAAACAAAATAAAGAAGATGAAAATGATCACTCCAAGTCTACTAATAATAGTATTATAAACCGTTTTGATGATGATAACAATAGTGATTCTATTTCTGATGATAGTAGTACTATAAGTGATTTATTTGAGGAAAGGAAAAAACGAAAAAGGAGAGAGAAAAAATCGACTTCATCACCATCAACCTCGTTGAACAGAAATATTCACTCTGATAATAAAAAACCGAAATATTCTTCGCTTAAAAATGCACGACCCCCACCAAATTCTGTTGCCTCCGCTTCAATTATTAATCACAAGCCAAAACAACTTACAACTACCACTCAGCAATCCTACAATCGTCCAACTCGTAGTTCCTCTGCGAATTCTCAAACTCAATCCACCGTTATACTTCCTAATTGGGCATCAGAAATGTTGGCTGAACTTGATGAACCTTCGAATAATACTGGAGACTCACGAAACATCAATTCAATCACAAAGAAAAGTCCCAACAATATTAATGGTCCGCGAAGTTTCTCTAATTCGATCTCTACTATTACGCCATCTACTCGTATTCCTGTAAAGACCAATCGAATGCTTACTATTCCTACTCCTACTCTTGTAAAGACCAATCCAATTCTTACACCTACTCCTGTAAAAACAAATCAAACTCTTACTAAACCTACCCCTGTAAAACCAAATCAAACTCTTACTAAACCTACTCCTTTAAAGATAAATCCAATTCTTACTACTACTCCTCCTGTAAAAACCAATCCAATCCTTGCTACTACTCCTCATCAGCCTCAACCACTACCTCTTTTTCCTCTACCGCCACCTCTTTCTATTCCTCGTACCGGTGAAAAACCTGTACTTGATTCAAAGACATCATCACCAACATCACCAACCATTAATAAAGATTCAAATAAATCATCACCAACATCACCAACATCACCAGCAATCGATAAAGATTCAAATAAATCATCACCAACATCACCAACATCACCAACAACTAATAAAGACCCAGATACATCATCATCAATATTAACAGCAAATAATGAATTATCCAATCCAATTACACCCAATGAATCTACCCAAAGTTCTAACTCTCAATATGAATCTTCTACTCCGAAACAAATCTCTTTTGCAAATTCTTCGTTGTCTTCGTTTTATTCTTCACGTGAACAACCACCATCACCTTTGACACCATTACCTCCATTGCCATTAGAAACACCAGAGAAAATGCCTTATCGAAGATTAAGTTGGGTCAACGAAGCGCCAGAGAAATTAATTCCCCCTCCAGCTATGATTTCATCCTCAAAAGGAAAAGAAAAAGAAAAAGTTACAGAAATTGATTTCGAGACAAATGTATCATGGAAAGAACTACAACATGCTTGTAACGCATATATAGAAACTATTTCTCCATGTGATTTACTAGTATCAGCGAAATACACATGGAAAACTTCAATACCACATGTTGAAAGTTTCCATTTAACTAAATTCAAAGAATTTGTGGAAAATAAATATCCTGGTTTACTCAAGGATATCCCGGATCCCCATATTATTAAATTGTTTCAACGTTTCCACTTATCTAAAAGAACAATTATTAACCGAAAAAAGAGAATTGCAAAAAGTAAGGAAGTGTTGTTTTCTCATTTAAATCATTTAAATAAATCAAATAACGACGATGTTAATAATTCGGAAGGCACTTCAAAATCTGAAACCATGGAATCAAATACTCAGAAATCAATCAAGCAAGCAGATAAATCAGAAGATCTTATTATAATATCCGATGAGGAGGAAATTCTAATCGAATCGTCTTTTCCCGTCACTTCAGATCGACAAATACAAAAAAGACCAGACGAAATGTTGGATACTACAAATAAAAATACTATGACGGGAGCAACTACAACAATATCAAGCGCTTCACTTTTATTCGAGGAAGAGGATGAAACACTTGATGGAGGCTGGGATTTTGAAGAGGGGGAAGATATTGAAGAAAAATTAGATCCAGAAGAGTTAATTGATGATTATGACGAAGATCTTTGGGTATAAATAAAGGATTTTCAAGATTTTCTCTTCCATCCATCCTTCTGCTCTTTTTTTCCTTTGTTGCTTTTATATGCAACACTCGATATTCGTATTTTTTTGCATATACTCATTTAATTATTCGAACACATATATGATTATCTATTATCGTTATTTATAGTAAAGAGCAATAACAAATTGGCAATATATCTTTTTAACAACAAAGATTGATAATTCATTATTTTCTTACTAAATAAAACTCGTATCGTGGAAGCGTCTTGGAACATAAACTATACATATTTTCACGCGGTGTTTTTATAACTTTTGACTAGAACAAGCGTCGATTGGATATTTGAATTTTGTTAGGTAGCATTTATGCTAATCCTAATTTCATGCATTTGGTGATTCACCTCATTCAAATGTGATTAATCCTTTTTTGTGATTTTATTTATAATACAAGGGTATTTATACTAGGGTGAAAATTATTCTAGTTCCGCAAGAAAATAACTTGTATAGTGGAAATAAATCCATCGAAAAAAAATATTAAATTAAATGAATCAACTCAAATTAGATAATAAATAAACCAATCGAAGTATTCTCGATTTTTATGATTGTTTTCTTTTGATTATTAATGTTCAGCACCAGAACTAGCACTAGTTTCGCTAGGGGGAAGATTTCTTCGTAAAGGATTACAAATAGCATTTGATGCATCGTTCTCAGCAGGTCCATTTGGGAAATAAAAGAAAGCAACAGCGATGATAAGGTAAGAGGCCTGAATTACAAGTGAAGTTTCCATCATAGAGTTAATTCGAGTTCACAAAGATCAAAATAAATATATGCAAGAAATAATATAATACGTACGAGTAACATAGCACCTTCCAACCAATTGGCCTTATTGTCAGCGACCAAATAATTGACGATTAAAACAGAACAAGCTAATACAGCAATTTCCAGTTGTGTGAAATCCAACGTTAGTGGGCGTTCTATCCACCATCCGACAATTACAAGTAGGGGACCAACCAAAAGTGCGATTTGCTAGTAATATAGACAAGAATTGAATTATTTGATATAATGATACATAAATACATAATATTGATTGTTCAGTTAACCTACCACAGATGTATTGAGAACCAAGCT